AAAACGGTGCGACAGCACTGCAGTTTGTTTTAGAGAAAAAATGGAAATGACCCCTTCGAACATGGTATTCGTATTTTTTTTTTGTCGGAGGGGCTAGGTACCATATTACTACACTCGATATAAATTATAATTATATTAACCACCGGGGGATTCGAACCCCATATGCGAACATTTGTGTTTGTGTGAGTGTATGTTATTTTTATTCGTTCGTATAGGGTTCATTTTTATTCCACTCAATCTGGTTGTATAGCAGGTGGCTTTTGAACAGGTGAGCACCTGCGATCTGAAATTTGCGTGGACAAACATCACGTGACAGAAGGGCTGGCAGCATATCCGACCCTATAGTCAGTCCATCAAAGGTCACAGTAAAATCGATCGTGTAGAATAATATACTGTAGCCTTTGATGACATCTAGATCATTCGATATATATTTTTAAAATTATGTCATTTAAATTTTTTTGTATTTTATTCGTAAATTTAAACTTTTACAGAAAAATTGACATTCCCCAATATAGCTTATGAGTTATGACGTCATTCTCATTCTTTTTTTGAGATTTCTTTCTATATGTTATCTTCCATACAAACATCACAACGTTAAATTTAAAACGCTCCTTTAAAATTTCTATCTATTTTGTTAATAGTTGGGGGTTCCCTACTTCTAGATAATTTCGAAGTAATCAAACATAATTAATATTCGTATACTCACCTTTTATAGCTTACTTGTCTACAAAATAAATATAATTTACCTACAGATAATCTTGGTTTTTTTTCAAATCATATTATTATACATCATTGTGGGTTTTTACTTTTTTAGAACTGATCTATAATACTTTTCTACGGTTCAATATAATATAATATTTATTCAATTAATGCCCAAGCTGTTTATTTTTGCTGAATCCTTCATAATTGTATTCTATGCGTGGCATGCTTTCAAACACAAGCCTCATGCCTCATTAAAATTTTTTCATAATAGATTTTTCAAGTTAATTTTTTTCTTTTTTTCATCCATATACTTCTAATCTTATTAATTACCTTTATACATTTGAGCATAATTTATATAATGCATCTATTATGATTTATAAAGTTAAATAAAATAAAAAAATAATTAAAGAGAATAGGTACGCACCTTTTAAAAATCAAAAATATATTATGCTTAATTTTATTGAGAAATCAAAATTTTCAATTTTTTGGGTGGGGTTGGTAATTGGGCCATATTTTATCTACCTGCATCGCATAAAATATTTGTTTCCTTTTTACTTACCGGAGATTGGGCCACAAAATAAATCTATATTTTTTAAGTGTATCCGAAGGGCAGAGATTTAGCCATACTTGTATAAAATATATAAATATACAACGTTTATTAACTAATGATCATTTTTTTCTAATATATAAAAATACTATTATTATTATACATATATACATATATTACCGAATCACATATAATACTCGTAATAAACGTGGGTCATATAGTTTGCAATCAACTGAACGATTGCTATGTTCTATAATATTTGTAAATGGCCGTTTTAGATATTTTTATCCATTTCATTTGATGGCATTCCCTGTTAATTCTATATAATTTAATAATTTCACTACTTTTTGATAAAGTCGCTTCATATAAAGTTTCGTGTGCACTGCAGTGTTAGGTTTTGTAGTAATATTTATACAATATGACACATTCATTTAATAATTACTGGATACAATAGTAAAAATCGTTGAAAATAGTGGCCCAATGGATCTACCTTTAATTGTTATAAATGTAAAACTTTAATAGCCCCATTGCCGTATTTGCTTATATATTTTATAGGCTTCAACTGCTAAGGTTATTGGCGTTTCTGATTCTCTCTGAAATAATATATCATGCTGATTATACCATTTATACCCAAATATTATAGTTCATAAACCTTATTTAAATTTTTAAAGTTGTATGATTACTTATTTTGGCATTTGTAATAATATATTAATCAATCTAGGGTTGAAAATAATTTCGGGCTTAGCATGCAAATAAATTCCTAAAGACATCTTTGAAATAAGATACCGGTCATATGCGGGGTACCTCGCATAATGGTCTTTAATAAAATCACTCAAGAAAGGTTATATAGATGTACTATTTCGATTTATCTTAAAAGTGCGCCAAATGTAAGGCAGTCCAAAGTTTTTCTTTGAGGGCCACTTCAAAACATTTTCCCATTACAATTCACCATAAAAATAAGTCCAGCAAAGTCTACAACGTTGAGATTTAACGTTTATATTTATGAATAGGTACTGTTGTATATATATATATATATATATAATGATATAAAAATGTCAAAGAATAATCGGCTCAAAGGTTAATAATGTGCCTACTTATGAACAAATGTTTAATGACTGAAGGTTCTGCATGAAAAAAATGACTGGTAAATACTATTATTATGGTACATTGGTAGAAATTGCTTTAAACAAATACATTTCGTCACGTCAGGTCATTATTAAGATAGAAAACACGATAGGAATGTGAAATAACAGCTGAGTGTCTGACACTCCCTAAATAACGCCATCAATAAGTACTGTGAACTACTAAGATTAGTTGTAATTTATTATTCTCGAGAGGATGGCTCAATTATGGATTTTATTTCACAAAGTAGGTACACTGAGCTATCTATCGTTGCCCGGATGAAAAATAATTTCGATTTACTCACCAACAATATAAATATTTTTCAGATATATTATTATTGGTTTCAGAAAAAGATTAAATAATGTGTTCTAATTTTGTAGTCTATTTGTTTAAATTGTTGCGAAATATGCTGGAATTTTTATCAAGTTATACTACTTTCTATTTGATATTATATTATGATTTGATTATCTACATTTATTGAGAGCCAATTCAATGGTCACAGTCATAGTTCCCCCTACGCAACCAAAAAGGTTATTATAACTTATTAACATTTATGCAAACGCGTTATTTTTAGAATTCAAAATTGATTTTGATGGAATTAAAAATATAAAAACAATTATAAAGATTTAAAATTTAAAATTTCTGCTATTTGTTTGATTGTTTAGTATTATATTATATCTGGCTAATTAATAAAAATATCAAATCAATACCCTATTCAACAAGACAATGTCCTACAGGTGTCAATGATAATTTTAAATGTAAATCAATTTATTGTAAGAGTCAATTGAACGTATAATAAAATAGTTTATGCATCTTAAAAAATAATAAATATTACCTGCATAAAGTATTCTTTGTTCTGAAAATATGTTAGGTACCTATATAGTATGTAAAATCGATATATATATCGAATAATATCGTATTCGATTTTAGTAAAACTGCAATATATAAATAATGGATAGGATGATTATGTAGGTGAATCGATAAACATGGTTTAAACATGAAATGTTTTATTTTATATATATTTTATTTTTTCATCTACAACTAAAAGGATACAAGTCATCTTATTCTATTTTACAATAACTATTTTTACAAAACTACAACTGTACATATTGCCTAACATTACAATAGTCTAAATAAAGAAAAAAAATACATCTCCGAATCCGGATTAACAATTTTGGGTTAAAATACGTTATTATCTATACAGAGGAGTTGTTGATTACAACATTGATATAATAACAAAAATATGTTGTTTTATTACGTTATATGTAACACAATAATATTGTAAATGTCAAAATTTCACTAGTTAATAACATTTTCTGATAAAGTGTTAGGGTTCTCGGAGAAAGAAACTGCCGAGTCATGTTAGTGCTTGTTTTGACAAATGATTTCAACAGTTTTTCCATAGGGACGGGGTGAAAAGACCGTTACAAAAACGGGAAGTCTATTAATAAATTTAATTTTAATTGGACATCAATCTTTTAATGCAGCGAATGTAACAAGTAAAATAATACTTTCCGAAAGTTACAGATTTATTTTAAATATATTTTTTTTTTATTCATATTTATACAGAAATAAAAAACAAAAAAACTAAAGAATACGGTTAAAATTAAAAAAAAAACTGCCATCATAGATGAATAGTTATTAAAAATTATATTGCACATTTCCATTATCTTATTTCACTGCAGAGAAGAACACAGTTTCGACGAAAATTACGAATTTCAATTATTTATTTACATATATATACCTAATATAGATAACTATATTGATCCAATGTATTTACAATTTTGATGCACCGACAGCAGTATTTACAGTAGAGTGATTTTCACGTAAGCGCAACGAGACAATAATTTATTATTTAAACGTCTGTACATGAAATTTGTTAATAACGTTGTGTGATTAAAATCAAATAAAAAATATGTAAACACGATGCCTCAATGTAATGTTGATGATTGTACTGACGTATCCATTAAGTGGGCAATACGCGGGCTTTTCGTAAGTTTGATTAAGTAAGCTCAAAAATGAACATTAACTATTAAAATAAATTATGTGCAACATTCATTACGAAATTCGTTTAGTTGATATTTTGTAATTTAAAAATAATTAAATAGGTACACTTAAAATACGGGAAATAAAATAACTGTTAACGGAGCATTTAATACATATATTATTAAACATTCGTATTTCATACAAATAGCTTTGAGTGTGATTAACTGTTTGAAAAAATAAAATAAATTAACATCAATAATAAACTAAAAATTATTTCCATACATACCTAGTCAAAATAATGATAAAATATTTTCATTATAAAATTAAATTGTACAGTGGGGCTAAATATCTTAATATAAATATCCTTATACCTTAAAAATTTAAATAAAATTATTTACGTTTTAATAATAGGTAGAAGTATAGCTAATTATAGGTCTCTTACGCTACATAATATTTTATATTGTAGTGTTATATTATTAATCATTATTATTTTTTAAAATAAAGAATATTATTTTCAATAATATAATGTCAGGGTGTTATTGTTTTTGTCGGTCTGCCAGAAACATTTGTCGATTTTTTTTACTTTGTAACTATAACGACTAGAGTCAAAAAAAGGTAGAGAAACACAATATTAAGGAGAACCTTTACTTAACTAAAGTGTCAAAAATGGTATCTTTAAAACAATCGTGTATTTAAATGATATAAATGTATTATTTAATTTTTTTGAAAACAAATTAGTCTTGAAAAGCTTATGTATGTAGTAGATATTTTTCCTAGAAATTATTTAAATCGGTTGACTTAACTCAAAACATAAAGCCACAAAATGATTAACTCGTAGAGCACTTTTACAATGATGTGACAGGTAATCATATTTTACGTACCTGTGAAACTAAAAATTGTTAAGTGGACATTATTTTAAATGAATTGTGTTAAATACTTTGAACTCAATTCACGTATATTACATTTATCATCATTTTGTTAAACCAATCGAAAGTTTACTAAATATGCTTTGTATTTTGGATAATAATAAACAATTTGAAAGTTATATAGATTTGCACAATGCATCATTATTTTATTCACCTAATAAATGCTTGATGAAAATTTAATTTAAATAATGTGTACGAACTAACTTGAAAGTATCGAAGTTATCATCGGAAATTAACAGTATTAATTTGTATTTATTTTATTTCTATAGAAGTTACACTATTTGGCGTAAGTAAGCTATTATGAAATGTATTTTAATACACATCTCATAATTTTGTATTTTATAGCTAAAATAACAAAGTAATTAAAATGTGTTGTATACGTATTATGTAGTACATATGTTTATGTATCTACCTAATATATGAGTAAGCAGTTATATATAAATTGATTTTTTGTGGATGTTTTCAACTGATTGTTGCCGATCCGATTTCAACTATACAATAGTATGCCACATAAAAAGATTTTCGACTGTGGAGGTGATACCTACATGTGCATAGGTAGAAATGCGCTGTATATTTAATTCTTATAAAATAACGCTGGTCAAAAAATACTTGCTTGTGCATCCGAAACCGAGACTTTGGCTTTAAATGTATCATAAATACGAGACACATCAACTATAAGTCGCATGATCACACTCGTATGGATTATTGTGTTTTTAGGAACATGTTATTATAATAAGTGGCACTTAATATCATACACGAGAAGCTGATTAAAATTTGTACATTAGATTTACTAATATAATGATATATATGAAACTACCATGGACGTTTCGTAAAATAAAACGCACAAAATAGAGAGAAATAAAAAGTTGAACAGAAATCGCCTGAAGCTCTCACAGAGAGAGAGAGAAAGAGAGAGAGAGAACGAGAGAGGCATGATGTGTTTGACAAGTTGGTCGTCCAAACCTATATTATACAAATTATATACACAACTATGGTTTTATGTAGACGATAATAATTAATCTTATAATAATAATAATAATAATAATAACAATACTAATGTATGTTATTATATTGTTATATAGAAATGATTATTTCCGGTTAATGCAACTAAAATGAGCACGTGTCTTAGGAAGGGATACAAGTGGTGACGGATGGCGGAGCGTGATCCCGTCATCAGTGTTGGGCCGCAAACTTCATGCGCTTTTGCTTTTGCCTCTGATTGCAGAACCACACTCTGACCACGTTCTTTTTCAGGTCGAGCTTTTCCGCTATGGCCGCGATCTTCTCGCCCGAAGGCCGCGGCTGCACTGCGAAGTACGCTTCCAACGACCGTTTCTCGGGCGCCGCGATCGACGTGCGCTTCCGCTTCTTCTCGCCGGCCGGCAGCACGCTTGGCGCGTCCGGGTCGCGGCGCTTATTCTTGGCCTGCGCCTCCGCCTCCTCCAGCCACGCCTGCAGGATGGGCTTGAGGGCGATCATGTTGTTGTGCGACAGCGTCAGCGACTCGAACCGGCATATGGTGCTCTGGGACAGCGCGCCGACGCCCGGCAGCTTGAGGTTGGCCAGTGCCTTGCCGACGTCCGCTTGCGTCACGCCCAGCTTGATCCGCCGCTGCTTGAACCGTTCGGCGAACGCCTCCAGCTCGCGGGGATCCGTGTCGGTGTCGGGGTGCTGGAGCCCAGCACCGCCGCCGGCACCGATCATACCGGCAGCCGCGGCCGCCGCAGCCGCCGCCGCTGCCGCGTGATGATGATGGTGGTGATGGTGGTGATGCGGGTGGCCGTTCGGGCCGGCGCCCGAGTGCGAGTGGTGGTGATGGTGGCCGCTCATCATGCCTGCACCGTAGACGCCGGGGTGGAGAGGACCGTGGCCGGACCCGTCCGACATCGGCGTCAGCGTGGTCATGGTCGACGACGATATGGGCTCTAGGAGGTCGAGGCCTTCCATACCGGGGTGCATCTGAAAATGAATTGCAAAACGAATGTCGGTAAGAATAATTATATGTATTGGTAGAGTTTACTTTTTGGCATTCCAATATTTTAATTTCAAGCCACAAGATCAATGTGGAAAGGTTGGAAAAAAGTTTTGTCTACCAACTCTATATACGTGCAGCAGTGAATATTTCATTTTTTATCAATATACTACAAGATGGGGGGAAATGAAGGCACTTTTTCTCATAATTGACATTTTTTGATTTTTAAGTATAAACTGAACTAGTGTCACGCGATAAAATATTTTAGGTAAAAATGAAATACTTCCATTAGACGTACTGATCATCGAGTACGAATGTCAAAATTCTAGAGAACATCCTTTTTGGCTTCCCCCCGTGTGTGGTAAATCAACCACCGTCAGTATATATTTAGGTATGGTGTGAGAGGAAGTCTAAAAATACAATGGGGTAGAGGGGGGGGGAGTGTCGACTTGAAACATGTAGTTAAGTTATAGTGACCACGGTTTTGAGTCTACGAGTGCTTTCCATGACGGTTCGTCACTCCTGACAACCAAAACAATACCTATGAAGGATAGACGGACGACGTAAGGCTGGTCTCGTAAACCATGCTGGACTTAACCGCAGTTTGTATCCGTGTAATGAACCCACATATACTTCAATATTATTAAACTGTACAACAATCGCGTGATCACCATTATATTTTTGCATTCGGAAACGACCCAGCCATGCACCTATCGAATCGGATAATTAAATCCGTCCCGCAATCAACGCCGTTCTCTGTATTACACCTACCTGTACGCGTTTAAGTTTCCTCGCGCTCTTGTGATGTCTGCAAGCGCAAGTGCATATTATGCAGGTATACGTAATGGCAATATTAGTGCCCTTCCCAGAACTAACACTTTAGTTTTTTAGCCGACCGAGCACACTTTTTTTTTGACTAACGAGACCCGCGATCTGCGGCCACCACCATCATCGTCGCAGTATTATTATTATTACGTAGGTAGGCGTATGGCGATAAACGCACAACAGTGATTATATTTTATTGCGCACAGTGCGCACCACACGGCGGCGGCCGTAAAATTCGACGATAATGTATGCGGTGTTAAATTCATCGCGAACATTGGCGGTGTGTGTTGTTCGCGAAACTAATTTTAATCGAGATTGAAACCCTCCGCGGTGGCTCGACGAGTTCAGAGCGAACATCATGACGTAGGGGTGAGATTATCGTTTCGGCAACGATGGCGCCCCGCGATCGCTTGACGACGATCTCGCGTTGCTATATATGTGTGGGCAACGTACACACCGCGTGGGTATATACTTGTCTATCCCCACATCTACCTATATATATATATATATTTTACGCACGGTCGGCGGCGTACCTGCACGTCTATTGGAACCTGCAGCAGCGTGCGGAATGCAAAAAAATAAAAACAACAAATACGTGATGAGATTGTCGAATAAATAAAACGAAAGTCGTCGTCGGCGGCGGCGGCGGCATTATGTATACCACGGCACACACGCGCCCACACGGGATCGGCGAGAGTGTGGGAATTTGCATTTTATACGGCGGCGCGTGTATATGTGTGCGGCGCGTACACGCGAAATAAAGAAAAAAAAATAGCGGCGAGCGTACGTCGCGGGAATTCCACTCGTCGAGCATGTTGTCGGCGGTGGTGGCGAGGGTTGTTCACCACGCGTGAATCCGACGGGGAGAAATTGTCACTGACGAGTATATACGTATATGTGTGTGTGTGTGTGTGTGTGTGTGTGTGTGTGTGTGTGTGTGTGTGTGCGTGTGTGTGTGTGTGTGTGTGTGTGTGCGTGTGTGCGTGTGAAGGTAAACCTATATATACGATACACATCATAGGTATACATTATATACTATACCGTTACCGCGCTGCGTGTATGATGGTATATTATTATTGTATTGCATATACCTATGTATAAAGTGTTGCAAATATATACACGCGCTGCAGGATGTGGGGTCGCGTGTGTCACGCGTATATGCATGCACACACACCTATATATATATATATATATAGATTAGAGTAGTCGTCGGGGTCGACGACGAGAGATATAGTTTGGCGGGACGGGTTACGGGGAGAGCGTTCGGTGGTGAGGGGTCGAAAGGGATGAAACGGCAAACGCAATCGAATGAATAATTGATTTGGATTGTTATTATACACACACACACACCCATACACGCACATACGTTCTCTTTCTCAATATACCGTTGTTGAGCACACACACACACACACACACACACACACACTTGGCCCTTGTCGTCGCCGTTTACCCCTTTCGATTGGTTACGACGACGACGTCAATGACGACTACTACGCGAGGAGCAGTATATTATTATTATTATTATTATTATTATTTATACACACACATACACTCAAACAGTGCTCGTTTTTGTAATGAGGTAATCGGCCGCGTACACACAAACGCGACGGTTGTGCGCGCGCCGCACCCTCCCCCCACGCGACCGGTTAGTCACAGTAGTGCAGTCCCCGCGCGACGTATATTTCATCATTAACTCGGTCTCTCGTCTCCCTCTGGCTTACCCTTCGTCTGTTGTGGCACACGCACGCGTAAACACCTATATACGAGCATTGCAGCTTCTGATGCTGTATAGTGAGAGGGATAAACAGATATAGATAGATATAGCGAGAGTATGAGAGATAGATGGATAGAGTACAGACGAAAGAGGGAGACGGACAGACAGACAGACAGTTAGAGAGAGAGGGGGGGGAGAGAGAGAGGAGGGAGAGAAGGATAGAGAGAGAGAGTGAGCGAGAGGTTTGCGTGAGGAGTATTCCGCTGGGAACGCGAGTCCGTGTGTTTTTTGGAGGGCGGTAGCGGAAGTATACGAGCAAAAGTTAATGGATCGACAACTTTGACGAAGTGCTCCGGAGGAAAAATATTTTCGAGCGATGAGGGACGAACCACGACGACAACGCCGTTCGCGTTATAATATTCAGTGGCATATATCTGCCTCCCGCGTGAAAATTTATATTTCATTGATACCTGCCCATAGGTACTATTATACGAACGTTCTTTTAGAAAATAAATAATAACATATACCTATATGTGCCCATATCAATGGATTTTCTGCACGTTTGCAAGAGACGTAGATTTAGGCGCAGTCAGTTAACTTTCATTTCGGACTGCACGAGGAATATGAAATTAACCGAGTCCGGCGCTCAAAAAGTTCGGTCGATTAAAATATTAAGTTTCATTTAATAAATACTTTTCAACTTTGTTTATAAACTGTAAGTATGCTGTGTAGTGTATGGCCATGCCTTTAGTTAGAATTTGTATAATATTTATACGTAAAATGCATAAATGTTATCTATAAATAGTTCAAAATTTAAATTATATTGCAAGACAAAAGATTTTCAGTTTAAAAATTTAAAACCTACTTCTGACTTTAAATTACTTTAAATAGCGAGTTCAAGTTAAAATAGTATATTTTTTTATAGAAATCTCAAAGTATATATAAAAAAGGTATAGAGCACATAAATAATTTATGTGCCATTAAAATCAGATGAGTTATGGCAATAAAATTGCGTAATAATATGAATAGTTATAGGGTATATATTAAGAGGAAAAAAATAACATGAAATGATGAAAACAACTCATCCAAACTATTAAAAAATACTTAAATATATAACGATGTATATTATAATACCTATGTGTTAAATATCAACAATATTACGTAGAGTAAGCGTAAAAATAACCAATAAAAAATGTTTTAATTATAATATATTGAATCATCAATTGTCATTTAAATTAACATAGTTGTAACGTGTGTTGTAGAAGAAAAATACAATTTTAAGATCTTAAAAGAAAAAAATGAAGTCAAAGTTGGTCAAAAGAAATAATAAAGTATAAAGCTATTAATCAATTTTATTTTTTGATATTATTAAATTCTTAATGCAAGTCAGTGCAAATTACGTCAATTAAATAATTTAAGGATATTGAGCCTGTAGTATATTAAATTAAAAATGTTGAACACTAATACAGAAGGAAACCAATAAATCATAAATGTCTTATAACATGATATTGTGATAAGAGATTACTTCACTATATGGAAAAGATGAATTTTTGACACGCTTATAAAATAGCAATTATATACACTTCGGTAGGCCCAGTAAAAATATTTAATATATTTCAATATTGAAATTAAAAATACATTTAAGTAGTCTCGATGTCTTGTTTAAT